CACTGTACAAGCGGTTTATAAACATTGCCTTACCTAATCCTCCCCCAAATCCTTTAAGGTAGGCATTGTTCTTCTCCTCATTCTAGCTCTCAGGAAACGAAACTAATATTTAAAGAGATAACAGTCAAAGGCAGGCTCTGTCTGACCTCAGTATCGCTGCTTTTAGCTCCTATGCTGTAGGGTGTCCACGAAGAATAACAAGGATGTAAATATAGTTAAATCTTTGAGATCAAATAGTGGCTCCATTTTAAGGATTCCAAAATTGGATTTGAGGATCTACAAATTGATTTATAACTTTTATATTGTGAGTCAGAGTGAGACTAGGAAACTACTGAAAATTAATATCAATCAAAACTGTATTTCCCATTATTAACCAAATTCATGGAGTTCATACATATGTTTTCATATGAACATATGGAAAACTAGCCATAATAGAATATGGCAAGTGTAGTAATTAGTGACGTGAACAAAATACTACAAAAGCAAAAAGAAGGCATTAATTGACTCTGACACCATCAAGGAAAACGTCCTGGTATGGGTATTTTAGGTGGGACACCACAGAGCAATAGGTTTTCTCCGAATGGAGAGAAGGGGCAGCAGGGAGAACATAATATCAGTACAGAGTACACAACTGAGCGATAGATGACATAATTTCTTATTAATTATAGCTTAAATAGTTCCCCAAAGAAAATAAAAACTCTTCTCCATTATTCCCAAATGGTTTTGCAGAAAACCATGCCTACAATGAAATTTTAGATCTTCAGAAGACATATCAGGAATAAAATCAAAGACATAGCTCATTGTTCACTGCTCTCTTACAGCACTCATCAAATTGTAGCATATCTGTGTGCTTATGGCTTGCCTATCTTATTTATCTTTGTACACCAAGCACGTTGCATGGTACCTGATCCAAAGTAGAACTGAATACACATTTGATTAAGTGCCAATTGCAATATACAATCAGTATTGGCTGAATGTCTATTAAGGCTTTATTTCCTCTTTTAAATTTGTACTGTAAGAAATACTACAATTAAAAGTTTTCTTGGGGCCAGCCCCATGGCCAAGTGGTTAAGTTCTCGCACTCTGCTTCGGCAGCCCAGGGTTTCACCAGTTCGAATTCTGGGCGGGGACATGGCACCGTTCATCAGGCCATGCTGAGGCAGCATCCCACATGCCACAACTAGAAGGACCCACAACTAAAAATACACAGCTATGTACCGGGGGGCTTTGGGAGAAAAAGGAAAAAATAAAATCTTTTAAAAAAAAAAGCTTTCTTGCCAGATACTAAGAAAATTAGTATTTGCTACCAGTTTATTGAAGTGTCTCATCTCAGTGAAGTGTACCCTTAAAATGGTTTTATATTTTCCGAATCAATATTCCTAAATATGCTGTCAAATCCTCCTTTCTTACCGGGTAGAATATTTGGTCATTAAAACTTAGTCCAGGGGAATTTAAAAGTTCAGTCTCATCTCTGATCAAAGCTCTCTCTCTCCCTCCACAGGATGCTCTGCTCTTGGCACACCGTCTTCCTCCTCACTCTTCTAGGCTCCAATTCAGGTGCTCCAAGAAGGTTAGGAGGAAGAGGTACATATTTGGTCCTTTCCTTGCTGGTCCTTGCAGGCAATCAAGACACCCCATGTGCGAGCTCTTCTGAGAGACTCCCCATGCCCAGTTCCCAGATGTGGGAGTCCTGCTGCCTCCCCAGTAAGCCCTACTCCTCTTTAGATCCTGCCACGAATGGTCCACCCACTGTTTCTTGATGCTATGGTCTTTTCACCCAGGGACAGTCCCCTAGATATTGTCATAGCAAAATGCTCAAGCCCGGCTATGCTCTACACCATCCAGTTCAGCCCCAAGAAACTCAGCACCCTCGCCAGGCCACACATAGCAAGAGAGGGCTGGCTTCTTCACTACTGCACCTGCTCTAACCCTGTCTTCTCCTACATCCAGCTCCCTCCTCCCACTCCTTATCTCAGGGAGATTTAGGAGTATGTAAGCTGGGCTCTGCTTTAGTGGACGTCCAACTAGGGAATGAGATACCATCTACTCTTTTTGGCAAATATCTTATGCTTGACAAGAGCTTCTCTTGAAACCCCTCTCACTTGAATTTGGAAAGATGAAACATGCCCCACAGGAAAGGGAGGGACTTCCCTTTCATTAGCAATGCTGCAATCCCTTCAAGTTCAACAACCCCAAAGACACTAGAACAGAGTAAGGAGAATTCTAGACATGGCGGGGCTTGGAGAAGAAGCCTGAATCCTGAAATGTCAGGGAAGAAACCTAAATTCTCACTGTTGGGCATGGCAAGGAAGTGACTGGGGGGTGTATGAACACCACAGTGCTTATCTATTTTTGGTGGCAAAAAATAAGTGGTTTTAAGGTGGTAAAACAACTGGTAAAGATCCTCTTCCAACCTTTCCATACAGCTTTGGCTCAAAGTGTGTTGTTGATATATGACTCCACAGAGGAACTTAAAACTAAACTTCAGGGCTTCAGTTGGCCTATCTCCAAAACCATATCAAATCATGCATGCATTTCTGCTTGGAGGATACAAAAAGTAATACATAGAATTAAGATCAACATAGAGAAAAATAGGAGAGGAAAATAAATAGAGGATATTCCTAAGAGAGAAAGGAAAGGATGGAGGAAGGCAGAATGTAAAGGAAAAACTATTCCTCATAAAATTCAAATGGATAATTAAGACAAAATTGTCTTCTATAACTTACTAGGCATTAAGTAAATGTTTTGAAGGAATGAGTGAATGAGTAAAAGAAAAAAGAAAAATTAACACGGCAAGGAGTAAAGGAAGGGCAGCTGCCAGAATTTCACATCCATGTTCTGTGGAAGACTGTCCTCACTCTAAACAACGAATTATTACCCTTCCTGAGGGAAAATTGAGTGTGTTGTGCCAGTTTCCGTCTGTGTAACTGTGCCTGCCTTGTCACCAATGTATCCCTGATATCCGTGTGGGTAAAGAGATGAGAAGGCAGCAAGTACACCTTTGCAAGGAGCAAGTGCTTATTCACGACAGACAGGCGTCCCACAGTCCATGTCGTCTCATCTTTGCAAATAAAGGACAACTATCAGGGGAATTCTTTTATACTTAATAATATTTTAGTTATAAATATTATATTTATATTTAAATATTTATGCAACCAACTTCCATTAATCATGCTATCTCAAGAAAAAGAATAGAGGTAATAGAAATTTGTTTTTAGAATTCCTCAGTAAGCCTAAGTTATGATGGCAGGAACTATTTAATTAATCACTGTATTCCCAGCATGGTGTACCTAGAAGATATTAAAAAAAATTATTTAGAGACTGAATGAATGAGTGAATGATACTGCTCACTCTGGACATTGATTTCAATCTTTTTATCAAGAAAAATCATGTTCTTGCATTTTTCCTTCATCCTGAAGGTAAGTTGCAGTGGATCAAGAAACGCCTCTGTGAGCATTTATGATTTATTAATACCACTCTATAACTTAGAAACCAAATGTTAAAGTGAAATGGAACAACAAATATCCAACACACGTAAGACATCTTATCAGTTACCAAACATTTCTAGGTATGTTATCTCTTGGTTTTTAAAAATTAATAAGAGAAGGGACTAGAATCAGTTGAAAGTTTCTTAACTTGAAGCTAAGGGGGAATTAATTAGTAATACATTTCAGCTTTCAAAACTGCTGTTTTAAATGGCAACTGAAGTTTCAGCAAATGCTGAATCTCTTGGTCAGAGGCCAAAGTCTGCTATTTTAGGCATTTGTGATAAATTATAAGAATGGATCACAGGAATATATTTGCTGGAAAGCAGTTGAAGAAACAGCTTTTAGAAAAACAGATTTTTGGCAAAAGCAGCCATGAGCTATTCTGGTCTTTGGCATTGTGAAGCCCATGGAGCAAATTTCTAAAGCAATTAATATAAATGAACATTCCATTAAAAAATCAATTCTTTTATATGAAATGCAAGGAGACAGAGACTAATATTTAGTCTTACAAATGAGCTCTTTGCATCATTAAAAGTATCACAAATGCTTGAATCAAGAGTCTATGGAGTTTATAGGATTAGTAATCCTGCATGCAATACTGGGCAGATAAAGTTTCTGATATCTCCCAAGGTAACATGAGACTCTGCCATGTGTTAATTGAGAGTGAACTTTGATTTAAAAATGGAAATAATAGAGACAGGAAATTAGCTGAGAAGCCATATCTATGGTTCCCTGAGCTTCTCTTGTGGGTAGAGAGTTGTCAAAAATGTGCCCTCACATGAACTCTGTGTGTGCCCAGCCTTGTTTGTGAGAAGCTGCCCAGCTTTCTTCTATTGTATGTTCAGTAAAGACTTTTCTGGGAGGATGTTATAAGCCTGGGTAATTTTCCTCTGGTCAGTAACAATGTTAGCAGTGTCCTTCTTATTTGTATGTAGGCTAGTGGTAAAGACAATAAGGATAAGATAATCAGTATTCCTAATTCTTAGGGAAACATATCTGCTTGGAAAATACCTCTAAATAAATAACTATACTATTAACATACATCCACATAGTTTGTATGGAGGGATTCATAAAAGCTTCCCAGAATATATAAAACATTTGATTTTCTCTTTTTAAAAAAAAGCCCATCAAGGGGCCTGGTGGCACAGTGGTTAAGGTCATGCACTCTGCTTTGGTGGCCCAGTGTTCGCGGGTTCGGATCCCAGGTGTGGACCTACACAGAGCTCACCAAACCATGCTGTGACAGCATCCCACATATGAAATAGAGGAAGATTGGCACAGATGTTAGCTCAGTGACAATCTCCCTCACCAAAAAGAAAAACAAAACAAACAAAATTCATCAAGTGCCAAACACATAGACAAAACTCTCAATAAATGTAAACACCTTTTTTTGCCCAGTTCCACAAATGACCTTTCACAGAAAAATTATATCTGTGATGACAAATAAGAGCATACTTGGCAGTTTATAGATATTATACTCATTCTGCTTTAATATTATAAATTATCCTCTAGCAAAGAGATTTTACACATCAAGGACAACATCTTGTGTAATATGCCATGTTTGACCAGATAAGGAATTTTTCTACTCATCTTTCATGGAGGAAGGATATGTAAAGAACCTGCTGAGAAAGACACCAGACCAGGCACCAGCTTATAAATGTGAGTAAAGTACTGTCAAGACTCTGTGGTAAGGAGCTTTAAAGCAAGTGGGAGGACAGCTATGTAAACCCATGAATACAATTAGTTTAAGAAATGCTACCTAACCAGAGGTGTACGAGTCTTACAGAAGCACCAGTGAAGACGAAAATCTCTGCCGAGTTGCTGGCAATAATTTTCAGAGGTCAGTTTGGGCTAGGATTCCACAGGATGGTTTACAGGGACAAGTATTCCAACAGGGGATCTGGCTAGTTCCAAAGACAGGCAGTTCAGGAGCACAAAAGCATAGGGTGTACAATGGGAATGTGACCAAGAGGAGGCTGGATTGTGAAGATTCACAGGTACTGTGCTTAGAACTTTAGGATTTCTCCCATTTTAGGGTAGACAAAATGGGGAGCCTTCAAAGGTTTTTGTTCAGGGTGATGAAATGATCAGATCTGTACCCTTGGAAAACATTCTGGACGCTACTTAAAGGCTAGTCTGGGGCAGGGAGGGATGCAGAGAGATGGGTTAATGAAGCCATTCCAGAACAGGGTAGAAACTGGTGAGTGCCTAACTCAAACATCCTATGCCTGTTGTAGATTATATTACTTTTCACCAACAATTCTGATGTCCTCCCTGCAAGAGGGTCGAACATTCCCCCCTGTTGACCCCAGCAGTGGCCAGGTGACTTGCTTTGGCCAACAAAATGTCATGATGTGTCACTTACAGGCAGAAGTTTTAAAAGGTTGATCAATCAACTGAGACTCTGGATGGAGCCATAGCCAGGTCACAATGAGTATAGGGCATGAACAAGTAATAAATCTCTGTCTTTGTATGTTGATGAGACCTGGGGGTCTTTTTGTTCCTAGCCTATCCTGACTTACACAATCCCCAAATATTTCTCTTAGTTTCTTGTGCTGCAAAGCACTGCTGACAATCAATCTGTAAATACTTACTAGACAGCTACTCGAGTGTTAGACACTGTGTTTACTGCTGACCAGTTTTTGCCCTTAGAGACTTTGCCATCATTTTAGGAAGAGACAACATTAAACAAAACAATATCATTAGGAATTCAGAAAGCATAGAAATCCCTTCCACGTGGATGGGATGAGTCATGGATGGTTTCCCTTAGGGTGGAATGTAAATAGGGAGAAGTGAAGAGAGTAGATAAAACAGACCAGGATGTGGAAGAGGGAGAGGGCAAAGTTAAACGGGCAAAGGTCAGAAAGAGAAAATTTGTAGGTCATCTTTGGGACAGAATGAGCAGATCATCCCTGATAGACAGCTGGCGTCTGCAGTGTCTAACACACAGCTGGTGCTTTAGTCTGACGAGCCAGGAAACTTCAGCAGTTCCTCAGTCACACTAGCCACGGTTACAGCACTCAACAGTCTCATGTGGCTGGTTCTGTGCAGATACAGAACATTTCCATCATCATAGGAAGTCCCATTGGGCACTGCTTGTCTATGAAAGTGAGATATAAAATGAAAAAAATACAGAACCAGAGAGTCCATGAATGCCAGGATAATATTTTAGTGAATTTGAAAAGTTTAAAATTTGAAAAGTTTAGTGACAACATAAAAGTAACTGAAAAGATTAATTTAGTGGTAGCAAGAAGGGAGACTAAATAAAGAGACAAAGCTGGAGAGAGAAAGATGAGGGGTTTTTGCTGTAACTCAGAAATGAATGACCAGGACCTAGATCAGAATGGTCATGGTAAAAACAGCAGAAAAGGAATACTGTCAATTCTCATTATTTCAGATTCTGCATTTGCAAATTTAGCCACTCAGTAAAATTTACTGGTAGCCCCAAAAGTCACTATTTTCTATGCTTTTTCGGTCATTAATAGACATGTGCAGAGTGGAGAAAAATTTGAGTCACCCAACGGCTGTGCACATTCCCAGCTAAGATTGATGGAGGAGAAGTTCTGTCTTCTCGTTTCGGCTCATACTGTAAACAAGTGTCCTTTTTCTGGTCTATTTAATATCACGTTTTCCACATTTTTCTGGATGATTTCACTGTTTAAAATGGCCTCCAAGTGTAGTGCATTAAGTACTGTCTAGTGTTCCTAAGCACAAGAAGGTTGTGATATGCCTTATGGAGAAAATACATGTGTTACAGAAGCTCTGCTCAGGCATGAGTTATAGTGCTGTTGGCTGGGAGTTCAACGTTAATTAATCCACATATATTAAATAAGATATCTTTAACAGAAACCACACATAAAACAAGGTTATGTATTGATCAGTTGATGAAAATGTCATGACCAGAGGCTCACAGGAACCTAACTCTGTATTTCTCCTAGAAACCATGGTTCAGTATTCACTAATTCAGTGTTTGTGGTGACGTTATAGATCATAACTACTGAGAATGTGAAGCATCAACTATGTGGAAGAGGGAGATACACTGCAAAGGGAGATACAACAGAAGCTGGGCACTAAGAGTCTGACAAAGAGACAACAAAATAAGGGATACCTCAGGTGGTGCCTATTGAGAAAATATGGTACCAAGTCCCAGGTAGACCAGAATTTTATTTTAATTAAAGCACAAGACTTGCCCTCAGTCACGGGAAAGAAGTCACCCATGACTGGATATTTCAGCATGCATTCTCAGATTATTTTCTTTAAATCTACTACTACTGAAAATCCAATAAATACTTTTAATAGTTTGCCTTTTACATTTTTTTTAAAAAAACACTTGGTCTGGGAGTTTTGATTTCTGGGTCTTTATGTGAATCATTCAACCTGGCTTAATTTTTACTCTATTCTTGTATCTGAATAGTTATCAAATAGGAATTCTGCAAAGTAAGTGATGTTTAACCCATTGAGTTGACAACTATATATACATGGGACTTTAGTTCCAAAAAGCCTTGAGCTTTGAAAAGTCAATTAGAGAATCCTCATTAAAATATTAGAATTAAAATATTTGAAAATATCCTCATTAAAATATTAGAAACTAAGGTGACATCAGCATCATGGTGGAATGAGTGCTTCCCTTAGACTCTCCCCTCTAAGAGACAACAAAAGGATATTCGTATACCAACAGAGGACATTCACACAACAAAAAAGACGTCTGAGGGAGACACACAGCTATACCTCTGCTGGTGGAGGTGCTGGACCCCTGGAGGAAGTGGAAGGAGGTAAGAGGATCTCCTCTCCCTCCTGAACAGCAGTGACCTTGGGACTGCACATGGCTCTGAGAAGAGATGGGGGAGGGGTGGCTCTCTGCAGGAACACCTTGGCTCTCCAAGTTCCCTCATAGCTTGGGGGAAAGCCCCAACAGAAGTGTCTAAGCTGTAGCAGGAGTGTCTTCATCAAGCTAGCACCCAGGAGAGTAGATGGGGAGGGCAGAACGAGAAGCCCCTGTGATCAAGCAGGTGAAAGAAAGTGCCCCTGAGTGACACTCCAGCTCAGCCAGTTGGCTGGAGCACCCTTGCATATGATAGAAAAGCACCAGCTTTGAGTAAGCGAGCCACAGATCATGGCAGGCTCAGAATACACAGTTCTTGACCCTCAGCCAGTGTCAGCAAGTGGAAGCTGTGACCAAATACTATTATCTGGAGGCACAAATCCATGCCACCAAACAATATGAAAAAATATTTTAATACTCCAGGCCAGAAGGAAAATGACAAACACCCAGAAATCAATCCTGAAGGCACAGAAATTTATAAGATAAGTGACAGAGAATTCAAAATAGCTATCATGAAAAAACTCAATGAGTTACAAGAAAATACAGATAGTTCACTGAAATCAGGAACTTCTTCACAAAAGAGATTGAAACTATGAAGAGAAACCAATCAGAAATGTTAGAGATGAAAAACACAATGGAGGAGATAAAGAAAAATCTGGAATTCCTGAATAACAGAGCTGATATTATAGAGGACAGAATAAGCAGATTGGAGGACAGAAATATAGAAATGCTTCTGGTGGAGGAAGAGAGAGAACTAAGACTAAAAAGAAATGAAGAAATTCTGAGAAATATCCAACTCAATTAGGAAATGCAACATAAGGATTATAGGTATTCCACAGGGAGAAGAGAAGGAGAATGGAGCAGAAAGCTTGTTCAAAGAAATAATAGCTGAGAACTTCCCAAATCTGGGGAAAGAGCTGGAAATACAAGTGAAAGAAGCTATTATATCTCCTAAGTATATTAATGTTAAAATACCTTCTCCAAGGTATATAGAAGTAAAACTGGCAAAAGTCACTGACAAAGAAAAAGTATCAAGGGCAGCAACGCAGAGGAAAATAACTTACAAAGGAGTCCCTATCAGGCTCTCAGCAGATTTCTCAGCAGAAACCTCACAGGCTAGGAGAGGATGGAATGATATATTCAAAATTCTGAAAGACAGAAACTTTCAGCCAAGAATACTCTATCCAGAGAAAGTATCCTTCAGATATGACTGAGAAATAAAAACTTTCCAAGATAAACAAAAGCTAATGGAGTTTATTACAAGACTCCCCTACAAGAAATACTCAAGCAGCCCTCATACCTGAAAAAAAAAGGGAGGGTCACAAAGCCTTGAGCAAGGAGATAAATTGACAGACAAAATCAGAAAATTGCAGCTCTCTCTCAGAACAGGTTAGCAAACAATTGTTAAAGACAAAGGGAAGGAAAACATCAAAAATATGATCTCATCATTTTAACCACAAATTCACAATAAAAGATGAAACAAGTTGTGACAATAATAACTTAGAAGGGGAAGTGGAAAGGGATGGAATTGGCTTGGTCTAGAAATAAGAGGCTATCAGAAAATGGACTATCACATCTATGAAATTTTTTAATACAAACCTCATGGTAACCACCAAACAAATAATCAGAACAGAGACACAAATGATACATAAAGGGAAAACTAAGAAAACCATCATAGAGAACTATCAGACGGAACTGGTAGTCTGAAATACACAAAATGAGAAACAAGGGAAAGGCAGAAGAACTGGAAAGCAAGCAATAAAATGGCAGCATTAAGCCCTCATATATCAATAATCACTTTAAATGTAAATGGATTGAATTCTCCAATCAAAAGACACAGAGTGGCTGGATGGATTAAAAACTAAGACCCAACAATATGCTACCTCCAGGAAACACATCTCAGCTCTAAAGACAAACACAGGCTCAGAGTGAAGGGATGGAAGAAGATACACCAAGCCAATGGCAAACAAAAGAAAGCAGGTGTTGGCAGACTTATATCAAACAAAGTAGACTTCAAGACAAAACAGGTAAAGAGAGACAAAGAGGGGCAGCATATAATGATCAAAGGGACACTCCACCAAGAGGACATAACACATAAATATCTAATCACCCAACACAGGAGCACCAAAGTACATAAAGCAACTATTAACAAGCCTAAAAAGAGACATTAACACCACAATAATAGTAGGGGATCTTAAGACCCCACTTATATCAATGGATAGATCATCCAGATAGAAAATCCACAAGGAAATAGTAGATTTAAATGAAAAACTAGATCAGATGGACTGTTAGATATATATAGAACACTCCATCTGAAAGCAGCAGAATACACATTCTTCTCAAGTGCACATGGAACATTTTCAAGAATAGACCATATCTTGGGAAACAAGGCAAGCCTCAACAAATTGAAGAAGATTGAAATCATATCAACCACCTTTACTGACCATAATGCTATGAAACTGGAAATCAACTACAAGAAAATAGCTGAGAAAGTGACAAATATGTGGAGATTAAACAACATGCTACTGAACAACAAATGGATCATTGAAGAAGTTAAAGGGAAAATAAAAAATATCTGGAGACAAATGAAAATGAAAATACACCATACTAACTCATATGAGATGCTAACTCATATGAATTTCCCCAGTCCTAACAGGGAAATTCACAGCAATACAGGCCCACCTTAACAAACAAGAAAAATCTCAAATAAGCAATATTAAACTACACCTAACAGAATTAGAAAAAGAAGAACAAACAAAGCCCAAATTCAGCAGAAAGAGGAAAATAATAAAAGCGCAGAAATTAAATGAAATTGAAACAAACAAACAAACAAACAGTAGAAAAGATCAATGAAACAAAGAGCTGGCTCTTTGAGAAGATAAACAAAATTGACAAACTCTTAGCCAGACTCACTAAGCAAAAAAGAGAGAAGGCTCAAATAAGCAAAATGAGAAAAGAAAGAGGAGAAATTACAATGGATACCACAGAAATACAAACGAGTATGTGAGAATACTATGAAAAACTGTATGCCCACAAATTGGACAATCTAGAAGAAATGCATAACTTCTTTGACTAATACAACCTCCCAAAACTGAACCAAGAAGAAATAGAGAATCTGAATAGACAAATCACAAATAAAGAGATTGAAACAGTAATCAAAAACCTCTGAAAAAAATAAAAGCCAAGGACCAGATGGCATCTCTCGAAAATTCTACCAAACATTCAAAAGAGATTTAATACCTATCCTTCTCAAACTATTCCAAAAAGTTGAGGAAGATGAAACACTTCCTAACACATTCTGTAAGGCCAACATCACCCTGATACCAAAACCAGACAAGCACAACACAAAGAAGGAAAATTACAGGCCAGTATCACGGATGAACATAGATGCAAAAATCCTCAACAAAATATTGGGAAACTGAATACAGAAAATCATTAAAAAGATCATACACCATGATCAAATGGGATTTATACCAGGACACAGGGATGGTTTAACATCGACAAATCAATCGATGTGATACACCACATTAACAAAATGAGGAATAAAAACAACATGATCATCTCAATAGATGCAGACAAAGCATGTGACAAGATTCAACATCCATTTATGATAAAAAACTCAATAAAATGGGTCCAGAGGAAAGTACCTCAACATAATAAAGGCCATATATGACAAACCCACAGCTAATATCATATTCAAGGGAGAAAAACTGAAAGCCAACCCTGTGAGAATAGGAACAAGGAAAAGGTGCACACTCTCACCACTTCTATTCAACATAGTACTGGGGGTCTGGGCCAGAGCAATAAGTCAAGAAAAACAAATAGAAGGAGTTCAAATAGGCAATAAAGAAGTGAAACTCTCACTGTTTGCAATTGACATGACTTTATATATAGAAAACCCTAAAGAATCCATAGGAAAACTATTAGAAATAATCGACAACTATAGCAAAATTGCACAGTACAAAATCAATTTACAAAAATAAATGGCATTTCTATATTCTAATAATGAACTAACAGAAAGAGAACTCAAGAATGCAATCCCATTTACAACTGCAACAAAAAGAATAAAATATCTAGGAATAAATTTAACCAAGGAGGCAAAAGACCTATACCATGAAAATTATAAGACATTATTAAAAGAAATCAATGACTACATAAAGAAATGGTCCATGCACATGGATTAGAAGAATAAATAGAGTGAAAATGTCCATACTAACTAATTCAATCTACAGATTCGATGCAACCCCAATCAGAATTCCAATGATATTTTTCATGGAAATAGAACAAAGAATTCATATGGGGCAATAAAGGACTGCAAATAGCTAAAGCAATGCTGAGAAAAAAGAATAAAGCTGGAGGCATCACAATTACTGACTTCAAAATATGCTACTTTGAAATACACATAGTAATCAAAACAGCATGGTACTGGTACAAAAACAGACACTAGATCAATGGAAGTAAACTGAAAGCCCAGAAATAAAACCACACATCTATGGACAGCTAATCTTCAGCAAAGGAGCCAAGAACATACAACGGAGAAAGGAAAATTTCTTCAATAAATGGTACTGGGAAAACTGGACTGCCACATGCAAAAGTATGACAGTAGACCATTATCTTAAACCATACACAAAAATTAGCTCAAAATGGATCAAAGAATTGAAGGTAAGACCTGAAACCATAAAACTCCTAGAAGAAAATATAGGCAGTATAGTCTTTGTCATTGATCTTAGAAGGATCTTTTCGAATACCATGTCTACTCAGACAAGGGAAACAAACAAAAAATAAACAAGTGGGACTTCATCAGACTAAAGAGTTCCTGCAAGGCAAAGGAAACCAGGAACCAAATGAAAAGACACCCATCAACTGGGAGAAAATATTTACAAATCACATATCCCACAAGGGGTTAATCTCCAAAATATATAAAGAATTCACACAACTGAACAGCAAAGAAACAAACAACCCCATCAAAAAATGGGCAGAGGATATGAACAGACATTTTTCCAAAGAAGATAAACAGATGGCCAATGGGCACATGAAAAGATGCTCAACAT